GTGAAGTCATAGCCGCCAGCCGTTATTTTGCATAACCCATTTTAAATATTGATTTACATCTTTGAAAAGATGTATAAATATTTTATGTATTTTATTCTCTGGATTTTTCCTCTTCTATGTATATATAGTGTATGTCCACAGAATTATTCCCTCCTTGTAGTAGTCATATTCTGAAGCTGATTATCTAAAGAGTTCATTTTTTTTTTTTCTGGAAAAATACATCAAAAACACTTTTTAAATCCACATCTTTGTGCTCGTACCTTGATTTTAAAATTGCAATATCAACATTACAAAAATAAAATGACAAAGCTAGGAGAAAGTATTTAAAGTTATGAATCTTTAACTAAAAGTAGATCTTTAGAGGACAACCAGTAGAATATATTGTATCAAGCCACCCCAAACTAAGAAATTCTCTCCCTATGGAATTTTTCAGAAGAATAACAATTAAATGTAATAATATTAAAAAATTTGTGCTCTTGTTAAATCTGAGATTTTTAGATCCTGTCCACAAATGGAACAATTGAAAAATAAATAAATAATACAAATTGTCTTTTCATTATAAAAATTAATTAGTTGTGATTACCTGAGAGTGACAACATGAGACTTGATGTAATAATGATTTAAACTGGATCTTCGAAATATCTGATCTATCTGAAAAAAGAAAAAAAAAAAACAACAGTAAATAACTTTTAAAATATGAATTCACACATTTCAATATATCACAAAAATGCCTGTGTAAAATCTGCAGTTATAGCATTTACTTCTAAGTTTGCAACTATCCTCAGAAAGTTCATTTGGGCACAATCCTGGTGTCATAAAGGTCATCCTTATAAGTGGATGCTGATTTTTGAACAATTTGTCACATGATCCAGGATGGCTGATATAAAGACTTGAATTAAGCTAGATATTTCAGTAGCCAATATAAAATATACATAGGGATGGAGGTGCTGAGACTGAATTTCTTTGAAAATTTGATGTGTATAGTCATTATCATTAAAGCTCAGCTATCATCATTGATTGAAGAATCAGTTTTGTAGGCTTTAGTGAAATTTTTAGGCCATGTTTTGATCCTGTGGCAATTGGAGGAGAGGTGCAGGATGTGTATTTATCAGGTACTTCCTAAAAAAGTATATTCATCAAGAAAAAATGCATGAAATAATTACTTAGAAAAAACAAGACTATATATGCCATTTGTATGTCATTTTAGACTTTTCTCTGTGGGATAATTTCTCTGTACTATAAATTCCTAGAATAAATTATTTCTTACTAAAACCACAGCTTATTAAAGAATCTATGCTTTTACAAACCTGTTTATTATCATTAACTTTTCAAGTTGGCTTCTTGAAAAAAAGACTGACCATATGCCAAACCTTAAGTGAACTTGAGTCTCAATAATCAGTTTCCCAAATCAAAGGTGAAGAGCTGCAAATATTGAAACTGGGTCTGTGTTGAACAAATGCTTTTCATGCAGTTAATTTGATTTATCAGTTCTTTTCTGGCGAAGTGCCATGCCATATCATATTGGATGATTTAGTGAGCATGTTTATTGAGAAATCAATAGCAAAAAAATGAATGACCATGTGTCTTCCTACTAACTGATTATAAAGGTAAAATTGGTTTTTAAGGAAATATTTTTATAGCATACATACATTTATAGAATACATACATTTGGTTTTTAAGGAAATATTTTTATAGCATACATACATTATTTGAGAAAACAAATACATATTCATTGTAAAAAGTTATAAAAAGCAAGCAATACAGCAAAAAGCATTAAAATAATTTCTAAGTCACCATATAGAGAACCTGCTATTTGTATTTTTGGTTATGTACTTCCAGATTTTCTATACACATTAATATGTCTTTATATATGATACTTGCATATCTTATATATAATCATAAATTTTCTGCTTGCCTCCTTCCATTCTCTTTCCAATTTCATTATTTTTTCTTGTTTCTTTTGAAATCACTGCTTTGTGAACCATGTATTACCCATGGTAATTGAGCATATAAACAATTTAGATTATTGAACTCCACAAAAAGTTTCTAAAATTCATTTTAGGCACTGGTTTTAATAATTTCTTTTAGGAAAATATTTCCTAGAACTATAACTCATAGTCTAAATCAGGGGTCAGCAAATTACAGCCTGTAGGAAAAATCTAGACAACCATCTAAGAATGGTCTTCCCATTTTTTGAATAGTTGAAAAAAATCAGAAGAAGAATATTTTGTGACATCTAACAATTTAACAAAATTCCACTTTAAGTGTCCGTAAAGAAGTAGTACTGGACCATAGCCATACTTATTTGTTGTATTATCTTATGGCTGCTTTTGCACTCCAGTGACAGATTTGAATAGTTGCCAAGAGACCACATAACCTGCAAAACTGAAAATATTTACTATCTGGTAACTTACAGAAAAAAATTGCCAACTTCTGGTCTAAATTACTGTAATTCCCTTAATTATGTTGTCTCCATTCATACTCTAGAGGAGAGGGCCAATTCTAGTGCGTTATTTACTAGTCATCTCCTTGAAGTGTATTTTTATAGTCCTACCACATGACAGGCACTGTTATAGGCACCAGAAATATAAGAATTAGTAGACTTAGCCCCTCACAAATTCAGAAGGACAAAGCCATACAAAATAATAATGTTGTAACAAGGTGGTAAGTGCTTTAGCAGAGGTGTATAAAAAGTTCTGTGAGAGCACAGGAAACAGATGCTAACATTTATTTGGACATAACTTTTCATACTTTTTATTCACAACATAAACCAGTCTTCAGAATAACTGAGGGAGGTAGGTGAAATTATACCTGTTTTGTAGTTAAAACTTTGACGGGTCAAGGAGCTTTATCAAAGCTGATAGTCTGTCAAAAATTAAAATTTGGATATGAATATGGATGTCCTGACTTCAATGTTTAGACTGTAATTTAATATTTTGCTTCCTATAACAAAATATACCCTGCCCTGATTATTTTTTCTTAATCAAAATTTCCTTATGATGTGTTTTTGGAAAGACATGTCAATCCCACTCAGTTGTAACCTTCAACTCATTTCATCAGTTTTTACTTTTGGTTGAGGAAATGAAGAAAGAAATATGTCTGAAGCTGGCAAAATGATCTATCATCTTTGGTCAATGCTAGGCACAATAGAAGCTGTGTACACAACTGAAGTCTTCAGTGGAAGAACTGGTCTGTATGTTTCTGTGGTGTATTTTCAGGAATAAATATTTAGTATAACTTGCCTGGTGGGAAATGTACGAGGCTCATAAATACATTAGGTGGTTAAAAATTGATACATGGTAATGTTTGTGTCTGAATGATTGAGTTATGTTTCCAGATAACTCTAATAATTTCATTTTTTATGTTTGAGCTATTTAATTTTTCTGTTGGGCTTCTATTATTTAGTCTTTGATGCAATTATTCTTTGTCCAGGGTATTTTTCCAATTTTCCTGTGAAAATGTTGGTAGAGTTGCCAGAGTTAGCAAACAAAAATGTGGTTACATTTCAATTTAAGGTATAGGCATGTTTAAAATATTGAATGAAATATATTTTCAGGAGGATATGAAATTAAAATTTAACTGAGCATTCTGTATTTTATCTGGCAATCCCAGTATAGGTTCAATCATCTCTTAACTTTATTTTAACCTTCTTCACAATAGTATTATTGGTAGAAATGATGCCAGACTTACCTCATTATTGACTTTTTGTTTCAGGTCTGTTCTAATTTTTGAGTGCTCAACTGAAAATTCAGGATTATATTCAATACTGGGGATCTGGAAGGAGGTTTGGTAATAGTAATATTTCTGATCTGGAAGGGAGAACAAAAATGGACGTTTTTGCTTTAGTTCATTGAGTTGTATAAATATCAGAAGTAGAGGGGATAACATAGAAAAAAATCCTATAATTGATGAACTATTGGGAATTAAAAATTCAATAGTTGTGGCCAAAACCTCTCTCTAACCTTTTCTTTTCTTTCTCTCTTTTTTTTTTTTTTTTTGAAGTAAAATTGGCATATAATATTATATTAGTTTCAGGTGTACAAGATGATAATTTGATATTTGTATGAACTCCAAAGTGATCACCACAATGTCTTGTTATCGTCTGTCACCATAAAATTGACCCCCTTCACCCCTTTGGCCCATCCCCAACTTCCCCTCTGATAACTTCTTCCTCTCTAGTAACCACTAATCTGTATTATGTATTTATGAGTTTTGTTTTGTGTATTTGGCTTGCTTTTATAGACTGCCCATAAAAGTGAAATCATATAGTATTTATCTTTCTTTGTTTGACTTATTTCACTTAGTATAATGCCCTCAAGGTCCGTCCATATTGTCTCAAATAGCAAGAATTCCTTCTTTTTTATGGCTGAGTAGTAATCCATAGTGTGTGTGTGTGTGTGTGTGTGTATCTGTATCTATATAATCACATCTTCTTTATTCATCCATAAATAGACACTGAAGTTTTTTGTGGATTTTGGCTACTGTAAATAATTCAGCAGTGAACTTGGGGGTGCATATATCTTTTTGAATTAATGTTTTTGTTTTTTTCAGATAAATTCCCAGAAGCAGATTAGCTGATTCATATGGTAAATCTATTCTTAATTTTTTGAGGAACTTTCATGCTGTCTTCCATAGTGGCTATACTGATTTATACTCTATCAGTGTATGTGGTTTCCCTGTTTCCAAATCTTTGCCAATACTTGTTATTTTGTCTTTTTATTTTTTTAAATTTATTTTATTAATTTTTGAGAGAGGGTGCAAACAGGGAGGGGCAGAAGGAGAGGGAGAGAGAATCTTAAGCAGGTTCAATGCCCAGCACGGAGCCAGACGCAGGGCTCATCTCATGACCATGAGATCATGACCTGAGCCAGAATCAAGAGTCAGATGCTTAACTGACTGAGCCCCCTGGTTACCCCTATTTTTTTGTCATTTTTATAATAGTCATGCTAGAGGTGTGAGGTGATATCATGGTTTTGATTGCATTTCCCTGATGATTAGTGATGTTGAGTACCTTTTCATGTGCCTGTTAGCTATGTGTATGTCTTCTTTGGAAAAATGTCTATTCAGGTCTTCTGCCCATTCTTAAATTGGATTGTTTGGCTTTCTGTTTTCGAGTTATTTGAGTTCTTTATATATTTTGGATATTACCCCTTATTGTACATATGAGTTGCAAGTATTTCTAACCTATTTTTAAGATCACACATTCTCAGAGTTATGTGGTTGTCAATTGTTTCATAATAAAATTATTACCTGTTAGTAATAATTCATACATTTAAGCTGTTAATTAGATAATGACAGAATATAATATATCCTCATAAGTTAACCTTGAAGTCAGAATTGCCACTAAAATAAATTTTACCCTCAGTACATTAAATATTATTAAGCAATATAATAATATGTATTGCATTGTTCAAGAGATAATATTATATGAACCAGTTCAAATTTTAAATGCTAGAAATAATTTTTATACATAAAGGATAATCATTTCCCAAATGTAGATAAGTTTATGCAAATTAATACTGCTTCATACGAAGTATGCATAGATTTATGAAAACTATTATTGCAATTAAAATTGCACTCTATAATATTAGAAAATATTAGGCTTTGAAATAAATTGAGTGGCTCTTGAAATTTTCTTTTTTTTTTTTTTTAATTTTTTTTTTTTTTTATTTCCGCGTTTATTTATTTTGGGACAGAAAGGCAAAAGAGACATGAGCGGGGAGAGGAGCGGAAGAGAGAGGAGACACAGAATGACAGGCTCAGGCTCGGGCTCCTAGCATCGCTAAGAGCCCAGCGGAGTGCGAACCACGGACCCATGAATTAGCCAATGACCTGGCTGAAGTCGGACGCTTAACCGACTGCGCCACCCAGGCGCCCCGAAATTTTCAAAATAATACAATGAGGTATATTCTTACCAAATGCCAAAAAATACACAAGGAGACCGATGATTATTGATAGAACCAACACAACAGCTGTGACAATAAGGGCAGTCATCCATGGTTTCAGTGAACTTGTCCTTCTACCCAGTGTTGCTGGCCTTTTGAGAGAGAGTTGTATATTAAAGTCAAATAGAACTTAAGTACTAAAATCTTAGTTTTTCATAGTTTTGATATAGAATTTTTTTTCTCTAGAATTCATGGTTAGCTCATATTACATTTAGTACATTAAATATATTGTTCTATAAAAAATCGAAAAAAATACTAAAATACTGTTAATGAAAAATATAACTGATTGACATTTGACTTTATATTTTGATTTTAGAAAGTCAGAATTTTACTGCAGTTGACTACTGTTTCATATACTTCCTGGCCCATCACGCTAGATTTTCTGAAATATGTTTTTCTTTGTTAAATGAACTAAAAACATATTTCACTCATGTGGTTCACATCCAAAAAGCCTCAAATAATGAGAGCATCTGGGTCACTCTTCTCATTCTAGCATAAACCCAACAGAGGCTCAAAGTGATTACTAAAGGCTCAAAGTTGGATACAATCAATGATCTGGTAATAGCAATGTAATGGGACAGATGGTAGCTATACTTGTGGTGAACATAGCAAAATGCATAAACTTGTCAAATTACTAAGTCATATACCTGAAACTAATATAGCACTGTGTGTCAATAATACTCAAATAAATAATAATAATAATAATAATAAAACCTTAAAGTTGGGTGTTGGGGGAACTGGAATTAGGACTTTGGCTTTTAGGGCTTTTTTCAGACCTCTGTACTTAATCCCATAATCCTGATTTATATGACAAGTAACCTGTAATGCATATGAAGAATATCTAGAATAGGACAGGTTGAAGAAAAACAATAGAGCTATAAGGAAGAAATAATAGGTAGATCAAAAAGAGATCATCAATATAATGAACAAATAAATAATTATAGCTCAGGACTTTGGACCCGGGAACTTCGTGGTGTGAGAACCACTGGTTTGATGAATATCTATTTCATAGGACTATAAGATTTCAGACCTGTGATTTTTAATAGATGATATTGGATAAAACAGGCCATATTTACCTGAGTAAATAATCAATTTAAACAAAAATATTAAGACAATAGTAGTACCAGTAGTATGCAAATATGGCAAAAAGCATGAAAGTGGTATGCAAATGACTGATATTTCGGAAAAACAGTGTGGAGGCAGGGGGATGTGACAAAGTTCTGTCCCTATCCCAGAGTCAGGGCCCAAAATCTAAAGGCTAAATCTGGATAATTACAGAGTTGAGACAGTCTAGAATAAAACTGGCATGCTTGTCCAGGAACATCTGATTCACGGGAGAACTAGGCAGGAATATGTCTCTGAAAGTTAAAGGTACCGGTTCTTGTTCTGTTAAAATTACACATGTAAAAGCAGAAGAAAGAATTACCTTCCCTGGATCGGTGGATGGTTGTGGTAAAGTGGAAAGTAGATCAGCACTAAATAATTGAAGATATCACCTTGGGGTACCTTTTGGCATCAACAATCTGGAAAAAGTGGGGATATTTCTATATCCTTGTATCTTCACAAAGAAGTTAGAGGCAGTTTCCTCACCCAAGAACCATCAACTTGAGCTCTAATAAGTATCTCAGGTAGCACTGGTTCTGAGTTTTGTTGTGTTTCTGGAAGAAGCTAAAGTTACTCTGGCTTGCCACTCTTTCTTTGGTTGGTAGCAAGACAAGAGTATTAAAATCTACAAACATCTGAGGTATCTTTAGAAGAGCTGGGCAAGGAAAGAGCTGATGAAAATATTCACTGCCTTTATTAATAGAAGACCATGGGCAATCATGAACTCATTCAGTTAACATTTACCAAGTTTCTTCGTGTGCCATTTTCTGCTTGGGATTCAAAAGTGAATAAGACATAGTCTCATCTTCAAGAATGTGTAACCTAGCAACACATTAAGTAACTACTAAAATACAAGAGATAAATACCATAATGGAATTATGTCCAATAAGCAATGAGAGATGAGTGTATACAAATGGTTTTGCCTTAGAGAACTTATCCTTTGAACAGGGTCTTGGAGGCTGAGGAGGAACTGGTGAGAATGATGTCTACCACAGGCAGAGGGAACAACATAAACAAAGACGAGGATTTCTCAAGGATATACATGAGAAAGTAGAATTTATGAATGCGAATATAGATATACCTAATTAATGCATGTATTAATGTATGTATTCATTAGTTAACTCAGTGAATATTTATTGAGCATTGCTATGTACAAAACAGGGGAATATAATGAAGAATATTCAATAGATCTTCCTCTCAAGGAACTTATAGTCTTATAGAGAAGGATGGCATTGTACCAAATTGCTCCTAGAGCTGTAGAGTATTTCTAAGACAATTTCAGAGAAGGACTAATGATTTCTCTTTGGAGGAAACAGTGGTTGAAAAATAATAATTTTTATTTATTTGTTTATTTATTTTAACCATGATAATTTTTTAAAGCTTGAAAATGCTGGACCCATCTTTCCTCTCCTCTGAGTCAGATATGGAAAACCATTCATAAGGAGGCAATTTAGTTTCAAAACAAAATTCTCTTTGAACTGTTTTACTTCTGACACCAGAAACATCACTAAGAATGAATTATAGTCTTACATACGGGTCATATTGAAAAATTGTGTGAGTACATTTTCTTTGTTTTTTTATTTAGAATTTTTTTTTAACATTTATTCATTTTTGAGAGACAGAGACAGAGCATGAGTGGAGTGGGGGGGGGGTGCAGAGACACAGAATCCAAAGCAGGCTCCAAGCTGTCAGCACAGAGCCCAACACAGGGCTCGAACCCACAAACTGTGAGATCATGATCTGAGTGGAAGTCAGACGCTTAACTGACTGAGCCACTCAGGCACTCTGAGTACATTTTGTTAATTATGTAGACATGCCCTAAAATGTATTCTTAAATGTTTTTTTAAAAAATGAAATAATTTTTCTTCCTGATTTTGTTCAGTACTAATCTAATTTTAACTTAAAAATTGATGAAATATCACTGGCTGTTCTAAATTGGTGGAGTTTGTACCTCATAGGTACTTGGCAAATATTTGTCTACTAAACAAAATTTTGTGTCATAAAAAAGCAGGCAGCCCTAAATTATTTGTGACAAAAAAACCCCCAAAAAACAAGAAAACACTTTTCAGCAGAAAGTCTTGCAAGAGATTAATTTCTTCAAATATGGTAGGAGGAGAAATGATCTTAAGCATTTATGTGGGATAGAGATACAATTATAAATTTTGCACTTAAAAATCTCTAAAGGACAATTCCTTCCTTCTCTTGCTTTCCTGGCTTCTCCTTCCCCCTAATCCTTCCAATTCAAAGAATTGAATTTTGGTCAGACTATCCCAGCCAGATGACTAAACAGATTCAGTGTAGTGTAGGAAAATCCAGCCTTAGAGAAACCTTTGACATTCAAACAAACAAAAACACTTAAAGTGACCTCACCTTTGAAGTGTTTATGCCAAAGCAAAGATGAGCAGTGACAAAAGTTACTCATTCAACAGGTCAATCACAAAAAGTCAAAGCATTTTTGATCCCTCCCCTCCCTTTGGTTACATTCTGAGTGGCTCATTATCCAGACTGTCTCATGGGGAGGTATTTCTTAACCAAAGCTCAGCAGAAGGGAATGAACTCTCCTTGCTCTTATCAGTGTCAGCCATTTTCTTTCAATGTAACAATTTTTTACCAAGGTACATATTCAGGTCCTTCCCTTTATATAGCTCTCCTACCATCTACTGTTTTCCTGGAGCTTTTAAACATTTTATATAACCATAATATTGTCCCTCAGTGATTCAAAGATGAGAGATAAAGGGTTTTCTTTCTGCCACAGCCATGGCCACATGACTTGAAGGGTTCATGGTCTCTGAAAGAGGTTATTCATTGTAGTTAAGGATGTGGGCTCTGCAGCCGGCCTACCTGATTTCTTATCCTGGCTCCTCCTCTGTGGGACCTTGGGCAGTCCTTCAACTTCTTTGTGCCTCAGGTTCCCTTTATCAAATGTGGGTAATGATACCTATCTTGTGAGATTATTGCAAGGATTAAGTGAGTTAATATACCTAAAGCACTTAGGATAGTAACTAAAACCTAGTGAAGACTTAGGAGTTTTGATGATTTTATTATTTTTATTACCAAAAGCAGCAGACAAAGGATATCAAGCAGATATCCTTGTACATAGATGAGATGGGGTGAACTGGTAGAAAATATGTGCTGGATGGTAGATGTGCCCCTCATGAAGGAAAGAGGTGAGAATTGGTGCCCAGGACCTTGGAATCTGAGTGACTACACTGGCCAGAAACTATGCAGAGACTGGGAAGCCCCTTAGGAGCCTAGAAAAGCCCTGATGATCTCCAGGGAGAGTTCCAGCAGATAAGAGTCTAAGCTTGAGATAAGGGGGGCTACCAGAGCCTTCAAGAGTAATCCCTAGTTTCAGAAGTGGGCATTATCAGATGAACACATTTTGGAGAATCCATAAGGGGAAGAATTACAATAATGGATATGACAAACAGACAAGATAATTGAATCACCTGGCTGGGGTTTTAACCCATTGCCTAGGGAAGACAGAACAGTTCTGGAAGAAAGTTGTTGTTGTGTAAGTATCAGGAGGTGATGGTGTTATTATCATAGTAACAGTGGCTTAGCAGTGATGATGATGATTTTAATTGTACCACCAGATATGATGAGACTTGCATAAAATCTGTGATGTGAGTAGAAATACTACAAATTATGAAAAAGATTAAATGAAAAGATTTGAGCTTTCTTTTATCTTTCGTGTTCTGACAAGCTGTGTGTCTTGTTTCTATAACTCCACATTATGCAAATAAGGTAGACATAATGTCTCATAAGTGAAAAGTTGACTAATGTCATAATTAACTGGTATTTTAGCTGATAAGGTTCAGAAGGGGATAATTAAGTTCTGTTCATGAATGCAAATTTGCATGAAGTTCTATAAGAAGCTGTTTCTTGAAGGAAATTTTAATTTTTTTAAGTTTATTTGAATTGAGAGAGTGTGTGTGTAAAAGTGAGTGTGTGTGTGTACATGTGTGCATACACGCGCGAGTCGGGT